GCAGTTACCAGCATTTCGTCAGAACAGGCTGGTTCACTGGCGGCCGAGACAGCCAGCGTCTGTGGAAAGTTCTGTGTACAATCTTCAGACGACTTTACGACTGTCAAGGACGGCATCTCTTTCGATGCCGTGGCAACTATTTCTCTGGGTTTAGCAGAGGGCTTTTGGTATTTCCGCACCCTATTTTTCTTCACTTTGATCGGATCATGAGGACCGCCAGCAATGCTACCTGGATTGGCCGGTAGGATGTGCGACTTTATGGTCGAGTGACAGACTCCAGTGGATGTATAGCGCGTAGATCGTGCGCTACAAACTCGGTACGCGACTAGACGGCCAACCAAAAATAATGGATAGAAGACACAACAGTAAGCTAGGGAAAAGTTTATTGGACGGGAGGAGCGTTAGCTAATGCTAAAAATAGGGCACCCGGAGAGAGCTAGCTAGGGAGAATGTCGATGGCGTCGAGTGCGTTGACAGAGCGTCGTTCGCAATCGAGTCGCGCGCGCCAAAGGCGGAGATGGCGTTCGTGTTTTCAACAAACGGGAACGACGTTCCAACAGGCAAACCGCCTAATTCCCTAATACATAAGAAAGCTATAATTTGAATGTATTTTATAATGGTTTACACAGTCATACGGGGGAATCTCCAGGTCGCTACAGATGGATCGTCAGCAATGTTCCCGGCTATTGCTGTGTCTTCAAACGAAATATTTAGGGATTTTAAAATTAAATCCATTTTCGTATCGAGCGACGCAATAGAGGCGAGTTTAGCTATCGCCAACTCAACATCTGCCAACCTTGAAGCCAACGCTGAAAGTTTAGCACCGGTGACAGCCGGGCGCGTCGATCTTTTAGCGCAGCATTCAGCGCAGCTGAAAAGAAAGTGGACGCTTGATGATAGCATTTGGTACTGGTCAGCTTGTAGGCCGGTACAGCTTTCGTGATACCAGCGGCAGCAGACGTCACACTGCATACCACCAGATGCATCTGTTACTGGCTCTGAACAGTTAACCTGTCCGCAAGCTGCAGTAGACTCATCAAACGAGGACCCCATAGGTCCGTCTCGGTGTTTAGCGAGACAGCCATGTTCATGTGGAAAACAGATTAGAATAACAACACGTATACAATAGGAAAACGACCGCAATAAAAAGGCAAAAACAGGGTGTAAAACGGGATTAAAACTGGGAACAACCGGAAAAATTACCAGTAAGCGTCAAAGACGCTTGGGCCAGTACCAATTTATTCGATCCAAGATTTCTTGGATCAGAGAAAATTTGACAATAGTCAAATTTCGTTTCAAGTGTTTATTCAAACACTGTTTGCCACGTTATTTCAGCTGAAAAGCTCGATCAGTATGGCACGCCAAAAAATCGAGTTACCGCGTAGTACGCACAGAGCAAACAGAACAAACCAAATAAAGTGGAATGAAATTTATACAACTTAAGAAGACCTAGTTTAAGTTAGTTTAGCCCAACTGCAGTGAAGCGTCATGAACGGAATACGGAGCGTTGCATCCGCGAATTGCGATCAATGATCTTTCGACAGTGTGATTGTGGTACACACTGTTGCATGTGGTTAGGTGCAAATTTTGGATGTGAATGTTTATTAATATGATAAAGCCTTTATTGAAAAGCTAATAAGTGGATTTGAAAGCAATATACTAACTGGTTTAAATGCGCTACGGTTTTTAATCATTTTCCCGCTTCAAGCGATAGCGGCCATGGTGGATGACTCGTGTGCATTCCGACATATCCTCAAGAGGCCTTATCTGGAGTTCTCACGGAGTAATGATGATCTGAAATGGTTTCAGATTGAAGCGGCGTCATCGTTCTTTCGTCGGACTGTGAGAACTGCGATTGCGTACCAAAGGGAGATTGGGCAGGTACCCTGGTAGCACATGTCCAGGTCCTGTCCAGTTCAGCATGCTAAACGTTCCTATGAGAGCATTAGGCTAAACTGGACAGCAAGTATTACCGTGAGACGGCTAAAAACGGTTCCCGTCCAGTTTACGTTGGACCAATGAAGATGATGCTAGCGTTGACCAATAGAAATTCACCACTAGGCGTGACAATCCGGCTGGTCCAGATCCCGTCATTGCCTCCCATGGGTATCCGAATACTGACAACACACTTGAACGCACTATGCGCCTAACCAATATATGGACGACTCGGACCTAGTGTTCACCCGGTACCAGTTGCGGTAGTTTCTGGACTTGGGAACCCACCTAGGCGGCGACTCAAAGCTGTTGGTCAGAAAAGGAAACCGCTCTTACCGCGCACCTGACATCACAAGGCGAAAGAAAATTAAAACCGAGGTATAGGAATGCTATATATACATGAAGGGGTGCAGTACAAAGAACGTTAGTAGCAGAAAGCCGCATAGTCAATATTCTTAATCTGCTTCCGCGAGTGTCAACGTAGGAGGCTAAAGATGTGCCTAAGGAAGCAGGGGACTCACCTCATTGGCACTGCATACTTTAGTTTGCTCAACCGGCGGTCTTTTGTGCCGTGCAGAATGCAACCACGTTTTGATGTGCCGTGTAATGTCAGCATCCGAGGCTGCATCACCCATGCGTTGCCGAATGAGGCCTTGGTATTTTTTATGGATTACTGCATTTCAACCTACCTTGTACAAGGCCGTTCATATTTGTTCGCCTGAATGCAAAGGAACCTCTAGCACCGGAGTAATTTATCTCCGCGGCAACTGATCTTGTCATTAGCCGCTCCATGGTACCCCGGACAATGAGTTGTATGTTATCACCGTGCACAGCACCTAAATGGTTGACCTAAAGTATTTGAATAATAAGACGAACTTACGACTCTGATTTTGAAATCCGGGTCCTTCAGCCGTTCATCATATCTCTTTAGCTCACTGAGAGAGATGAATGGCAGAGATAGTCCCGGCGCAACACTTTGGGATTGTCGTTGTAGCATTTGCAACATCGCTTCGGACATGCGACGATGGCCGACCAATTCTGATCGGATGAGACACAACTCATCTAAAAATAAGGCTGAGTGCAATGCAATACATCTGTGGCGTCTTACATTTTATGGCCTGCAGTTCGTGCAGCACATCCAGATTGCTTGGTGGGACGTCAGCAATAACCGGTAGCGGGATTGCTGTTTAATAGGGGCAGTATGAAATCGATACTTACGGTTGCTTGTTGATGGTCCTGGACGTGACGGACTAATGCCACTGAACAGAGAGGAGGGCGCACGTGCGTAGGTTGCTGCAGAAGGCCTTTTGGGTTTTCTTGGACGCGCGGCATCCTCGTCATCGGAGCTCGAACGGACGGGCCGGCGTCTAAGGGGAAATAAAAAACACAATACTCACATTGCACGCTTAGCTGGAAGGCCCATGGGAATTGTATCGTCTGTCGATGGCAGCATCCCGCGCTCAGATTGCCGTTCCATTTCTCGGGCATGTTGGAAGCTAACTAACGAGGTGGGTTAATACAAGAGAAATACTTACCAGTGCTAACGATTATGGACACGGCAGTGCTAACCACATCGACATCCGGCGCAGTGTGATTTTTCACCGCTGCATAGTAGTGCGTACCTCGCACTGAAGGTATTTGAGCGTACGAACCCTCTTCTCTAAGCCAAGTGTTACTGACAATAGTTATTAAATCCTCGGAGTCAAGGAGTTTGACAACGCTGTATCCTTGAAAAGCCATCATTGCTGAAAAAGAAAGACGTTAGTAGTTAAAGTGTATAACTGTGTGGCATAGGGTAAATTACAAGAAAATCGTTCAAGGGTAAAGCAATGCACTTAAAGAGAATATGACAGACAGAGAAGGTACATACCTCAGTTGACAACTGCGATGCACGGAAGATGTACGCCGTTGAGGAATCCATGCTATGCGTGAACAGACTACGAAGATTCATAAATTCCCGGCATTGCACGACAATGTTCCCGGACACATTCACAGACACATCTGTCAGTACTCTGGGTTTGGCATCGATGATGACCACGTTATCCGGCTTCACAGTGGAAAACAAAATGCCGTGCAAACAAAACGCCTTCTGACCCTTATATGTGCACATCTCTACATTCCCAACGGTGCTTGCGTTGCTGGAAGTAGGAGGAAGCTGTTCCTCTTCCGACGTACGCCGCATGATTTGAGCAACCGGACGCGGGGAATTGTGAATCATGCGCTTGATGGAAAACAAGTGAGACTCGAAGGGAAATGCTGAGAAGCTGTCTAGAGTCCCCATCTTTCGTACGTCAGCGGGAAGATGAACTAGTGAGTGTACGTTCCACGTCATCTCACTGGGACCATAAAGATCAAAGTAATCATGTAAAAATACATGAATTAAAGGAACAAGGAAATCAAATAAGGCAGTGTGAAGGTGAGGGTGGCACATGATATAAATAGCCAATGAGAGATCTAGAAAGTTTTGATAGAAAGCGTCAGGCAATACCCCAATTAAACAAGCCGGTCCGGCGTATAGCAAAAACTGACGCAACTCAGTTGCCTTCCAAGATCGGTATTCATCCAGTGATCGAAGCTTACGTGGAAAGTCCGATGTCCAGGAAGGCCCGAACTCATGCAACCGTTCGTTAGCTAAAATCAATTGCTCTCTGCGCAGTCGAAATCTACTGTCCACGGGCGAAGTAAGCCAGTTTTTTATCATTCTGCGCATAACACCCAAACATACTGAATGCATATAGTCAATAGGGAAGTCCTCAACCAAATCGACATTCAAAGCAGCAAAAGGCGACGGTTGGCTATCATTCCTTCGAACGGATGCATTAGTCCGTAGTGTGCAATCAGTAAGTGGGTACGTTACCTTGCGGCTCATATACTCACCACGTTGGGTGCATTTGTCACAGCTGTAATAACCGGAATGTTCTTTTTTTCTTTTCACATACGCACGTGCAGGGGTATCACAGATAACGGCTTTAAGCTTGAATAATCCTTGGCGTTGCAAAGTACGTATCTCATTAATTGTGTCGTACAAGTAATCGTCCACGTCATTCGGCTTCGAGGTCCCACCATAAACACCAACAATAAATGGCTTCGTGATCACTGGCTTTATGACACGGCACAAGATTGGCCATACATGCATCTTGGATGCATTAAAAGGTTTAAACCCGTCGATATGCAACTGATAATCAACAGTGTCATCAGCGGCGAGCGAAATAGCAGAGCATGCACGCTGTAAACCTCTCAGCAGACCTACGTGACCGTAAGTTCCCGGTGAAACAACGCGAATGCGGGATGTCCGTGGGGTGCGCATCAACGTCCGGTAATCCTTTGGCAAAAATGGCATCCACGGCTGCACAAGGCACAACAGTGGACGAACAAAAGACGCAGGTACTTGAGATTTTGCGATCAATTTTCTCAAGTTATGTAACAATTCATCGGGGTCCCTGTCATCTTCACTGCGGTTGATAACGTGTGCATGTGGCTGAACTGTGTAAGCAATCATATTTAAGATATGTTAAAGATGCTCTTACCCTTCTGTCGTTTAGCTTCTGACAACAGAAGCACCTCTTCGTAGCTGAATCCTGATTTCATTCTTTTCGCTGCACGGTAAATGGTGCTACGAGACGGAAACTGTGCAGTTAATTGATAACTTCGTCGACGTGACATGCTGAAAGGGAACACCTACGTATCAAACAATGTTTAACCAAAATACCTGATAGGTACACCTGGGGAAACGCAGTTTCAAGGAAGCTAGACAATAGCGCAGAACGAAGCGGTATCAGCGACCAAGGTTACGAAACCGAAAACGGCCAAATAAATAGACCTGCAGATGCATTTAAACCGCTGGGGTTATGGTCAAATAATAGCAAATATAATGCATATCAACTATTAATTTATTACCAAATGTCAAAATAAATGCATTTAGCTGCAAGTAATGCATTAATACCTGAAGTGGACATCTGTCCAGTTTATGTCCAGGTTGCTACGTTTAGTGTTACGTTTGTGCTACCAGGGTACTACCAGAATGATGCCCGTATCAGTGTATTCAGTTTGCATTAGTTCATAGCAAGCGCTCTAATTTTGCTGGAAAGCGGTAAAGGTTGTGTATCCGCCTGAGGAATATATTTTAAAAGGTACCGGTGTTACAATTGTCCAGCTCGTTTCTCAGCGATGCTTAAGAGCGTATGTTACGAGATTGGAAACGTGTGTCTTTGGCATTCGCACACTTTTCAGGTGGCGAAGCCTTGGCTGCATGCCAAAATCGGAGGCTAACAGCGGATCAGGAAAGCATCGTGCTTAACTTAATGAAGACGTTTCGTCAGATGCAGGAGATGCGTGCGTTTGTGCGTCCGCAACATAACATTCGTTTAAAGAGGCGCGATTTGTATGACATGCGCCGGAGTCATCAGGACGCTTGTGTCACGGAAGTGGAAGAGGTTACACAGCTGTTGCGAAGAAATGGTCAGCTTACAATTATGCATGAGGAAAATTAGGTCCGGTAACTGTTTTTCTTCCCATCCCGAATGCTGGAGTTGGTGGGCCAATACGGGGAGGTAATTTTGGCAGACTCCACATATCAGATAATTTACAGCGGTTACATCCTATGGCATTGTATGTTTGTGGACGCCAGCGGCCTTGGTATGAGCTTAGTTTAGGCGCGTTTGTCCAATGTTACAGATGCTACTTACCAAGAGGCATTGGGAAGTACCCTAGATTTGGCCCCCGGGGTTGCGGGTGCTCGAGCGTTGGTCTTGGACATGTGTGCTGGGCAAGTGAATGCGTTTCGCAATGAGTATCCCACTGCCGCTATCGGTTTCTGCCGGGTACACATTATGCGTGACATGCAGCGGTTTTATTCAACATGCTGCGGTCGTTGTTGTATACGCACGATTGCGCACATTAGCATCGGCTTATGGAAAGTATACCGATGTGCATCGCGGAATGCTTCCAGTACCTCCGTCGCACGTGGATCCTACGGCGTTTAGCTTAGCGGCGCATTTGATGGCCACGCTGTGTTATTTGGGTGAGATGGCACCAATAGGGTTGAGAATGAGAAGAAGCATTTGAAAGAAACTTTGAGTACGTGGTCTACCCGGCTGCACATGTTTTAAGCGATAGTGCAGCGATGCAGTGGCATTTGGGAGGAGAGGGAAAACTTTCTTGCGAGAGATAGGCTTAGTATGTATAAATATAAATAAATAAATAAATACTTTATTCTCGACTATGCGAGGCACGCCCATGGAAGCATGATCAGATATGTACAACTGTACAAATATTTTATGGCAACCGTGACAGCAATAGTAGAAAATTGGTGGTATGTTCGTGGTAAAATAAATAAATAGATAGTTTATTCTCAGCTTCATAGAGACGCACCAACTTAAGCATGATCAAGGTTTAAAACTGTTGTGTATCACGAGGATACTCCGGGTTCAATCGTGTATAGTTGAAACGGTGTCAAGAGGAGTTGATATGTGAATCTAGTCGACTTGCCAGTATGTAGTTGTGGGCTGTGACTTTATTCAGTGGCGAGTCACATCCGCCACGTCGCAGTGTTGTTAAACAGACATATGTGGCTTTTTATGGGGAGAAAGCTTGCCAGGCGAAAACCCACCACGTCCTGCAACACTGCCGTAAAGCATTTTGAACATTAATGTTGAACTGGCAAAGCCGCTTGACGACTGGTTTCACATTCGGTTTTTCGCTGGGTAATGGCTTCTAATTTCCTCTGTTAGTTGGACGGGTATTTTGCTCTGGGTCGCCATGATTTTTTGGGGTCGGTGGAGGAGAGGGACATCGCGATTTTTCTTCTTGTTGTATGTCCAGGTGAGCAAAAGTTTCAATTTTTCCGCTGTTCAGATTTTTCAGATGTATAATGTATGGGAGTATGAGGATGTGTCCAGTTCTCCATACTGGACAAGGGTTATGATGATTGTAGGTTGGTCCTTGCGGAGTTTTACTATCCTCCATGTCAGTCCTTGTGGGTTGTTCCGTCCGTCTTGGGCAAAATTGTTCCTCAGTCCAATCCCAGATCTCCAAGATGTCCCGGACCTCAGAGAAAAGGGAAAGTGGGAGACAACCGAGAGAAGACCGCAAGAACAGGCATGGAATTGAATATTGTTAGTGTCTTGTGTTATAACATTTGGGCTGGAGACAAAAGCATGTACACTGTGCAACAATAATTATGCTGAAAATGTCTTTTGAGTATCCTATAGAATCATTAGCCGTATAGGTGGATTGCTATCGCCTGCGTAGGGACAAGAGCGTTGCACCAGTAAGTAAGGTACGAGTATCCATTTGATATGAGTCGATAGTTGCGTG